AGCATGTTCTGATGAAGCAGTACTTGATAACAATTTCATAAAGAAGAGGTCCTCTGTATTGTACATTGCTCACTGCGATACATCACAGTGCCATCCTTTCTGTTTGTTTTTACCCAGAAATAAACAGTCTCAATATTAAGTGGGCTTTGGAGAAAAACAGCAGTGCCAATCCACTGGCAGTAAGTTAGAGAGCCCCTCTGCACCCTGCAGCACTACAGTCAATGATGATTGATTACTCCCTCACAGTCTCATAACTGCACTCATTACTTCTTTCACAGCCATTCTCAAGCTGAGGACAACATTAGACCTGCCTTTGCACAAGTTAGCATAATCAGATGGTAAAATAACAATGTACTAAATGTCTATTAAGGGAAATTAAAGAGTTATTGATGTGTTGGTCAATGAATTAAATATGTAGTCCTGGATAATCCCGGATTAAGTCTACTTTAATAAACCTTATTGAAACATATGTGCATCAGCATGTGGTCTGTGGTCTTTCAAACTCTGTAATTAGCTCCCTGGGTTTTCCTGCAGGTCATAAGGTTGCTGGTGAGACTGAGCCACAGGGACAGCAACAGCATATCTGTCTTCTCTGAGGCAGCAGGATCTGATAGCGATGGCTTCTTCAACTGTGTGAGATACTCAGATGAGTTTTCAAACATTCACCTGGCAGCAAGTGGTAATCACGAAGTGGGATCCCACAGCCACTTTTTAACAGCTTAATTACAGTGCTGCATTTAAAGAAAGTTAATCAGTGGAGAGGAAACTTCTGCTTTACTACCCTTATGCTCTAAGACGGAGACAGCTGAGCACACACACACACACACACACACACACACACACACACACACACACACACACACACACATAAAGTTCTATGACACAAACTAGCAAAGTGCTGATTGCTGCACACTTTTTTCTTCTTGCTTCCTCCACTGTGTCTTCATCTTTCTCTACACAGATACAGACCATCACCCACCGCCCCCAAACCCCACCACTCTTTTTCATTCACAGACACACTTAAATACCAACTCAACACACAGCTGTTCCAAGTCTTGGCATCAGTGATCGTGACAGTAATTACCTGCCTAGTGGAGGTGGTACTAGTGTGCGTTGAGAGCTAGAAAATAGCTATCTGGAAGAATAGCGCAGGATGGGAAGCACACAGCACACACTGGGAGACTTTACACAGTCCTCTGCTACAACTGTTCCACCAAACCGTCTGCTTAATTTGGCAGAGGGACAGTACGGCAGTACGGTCTTCAGCTCCCCAATGAAGGCTATCATTGGCTGACAGAAAGTCAAGTCAGCAAGTATTCTGGTGATGAGACTGCAGCAATGGCTTCAGTTCAGACGTATTAAATGACAGTTGGATGCATTTTAACCACACTTCAGTGATATAACCAGCTACAAAGAAGGCCAGTTATAAAAAGGAACTGAGGATCTTCACTCTAAATTTATATTTCCATGCTTGGATAAAAAGGTGAAGAAAATTATACTTCTAGAGGACGAGTGTGTATTTTTTTGTGGCATTTAGCTGTGTAGTAGATTGCAACTCTCTCGCTTCACACTTCCCTTCCAAGTGTGAAGGACAACGATGGCCACGAAATGGCCCTATCTCGAGACAGCGTTTGGTTTGTCTGTTATGGGCTACTGCTTAAACATGTCGGTTCAACATGGCGGCCTCCAGGGAAGGTGTCTGTAGATATAAAAGGCTTATTCTAAGGTAACAAAAACATAACTATTCTTATTTTCAGGGGATAATACTCTAATGAAAATATCATTATGCAGATTATATAATTATTCGATATATCATTTTGGTCAGTAGAACCTCCTAAATATTACACACTGGACCTTACATTTTTGTTGATTTTAGAAAAAATGACAACACACTCATATTGAATGTTTTGTAATATATTTACATCATGAAGTTTCTCAAAACAGGTATGTAGAGCTGCAACAATTAGCCTATTATTTCATTAATAAGCAAAGATTTTGATAGTTGATCAACTGTTTAAGACACTTTTTAAAACTAAAATGCCAAAATTCACTGGTTCTAGCTCCTCAGTTGTGACAATGTGGTGGTCTTTTATGATATAAAAAAGTATGCAAAAGTATGGTTTTATGCAACAAACGATTCATCTAGAAAATAAACAATGAAAATAATGCAGCCCTAAATCTACATATACTTCAAATTACTACACTGTGGGCTAAATGACTATGTGTGATTGTAATGAGCTGCACACCACTAAATACAGCTCCAGTGTTGGACAAATTATAAAATTAGTCACCTGGATGGCGCACTGTCGTAGTGATGACAGAAAGTGTTAAAGCACTCTCACACAGTCCTCAAAGTGCAGAGCTACAGACAAATTCTGTTATTTTAGTTACAGTACAGGCAAATAGGAACACACCGATCCCAACACAGCGATCAGAGGTGTTTGTGTCTGCCAACCAATAAATCGCCAAAACACACAGTGAAACACACAAACACTGTTGGTCTTTTGAAACGTCATGACATGAACTGTGAGATGACTTTGTGCAGAATAAACTAAAGCATAAATGTGAGATGCTGTAAAAATATTTAGAAAATCTGTGTATTTTCTGCCTCATCCTCCAAGGAATTCTGAGTAATTGCAAAGCTGCTACTGTAGTTCCTTCACAAATGGAAAAATTATTTAAATCCTTGAACATCTGATGTCTACTCTCATTTGAACTATTTAAAAGAGCAGGCACAATGCATTTGGTATCTTCTCACTGCTGGTAATTTAATTTATCCTGAAAGTTTGCAGTAATTGCCTGCCTCTTTAACCACTAGGTTATGTCTTTAAAAAACCCTGGGTCTGAACAGGGAATAAAATCCCTCTCTTTATGAGCATTTAAAGGTTTAATCCATTTTAAAGGCCACCAGTGAATGTAAAAAAAAAGAAAAGAAAAAAAAAGCTTGTCTCTGTGTACAAATCAGATCAAGTTAAAGACTTGCCTACTTTCACTTTCACCCATTTATCATGCACTCTCCAGGTCCCACCCGCCTGCCCGGCTTTGGATGACGTCAAAGGGGATCACATGGCAGTGAACCCAGCACCTCCCTTATATTTGCTCCTGGCCGGGCCATCAGACCCAATTTGTTCCGTCAAGCTCCACTACCTCTTGTCTGCCCCATCTCACAGTTCAGATCTAACGTTAATTTCCTCTACCTCGCCGCTCAAAGACAAGCCACTTGTGCTAGGCACCAGTACTCCAATTCCCTTGTGTTACAACAGAGCTCCTGCCCAGGCAGCTGGATGTTTGTTGCCACTCGATATATAGCCTGCTCTTACTCACACAACGGTGCTCAACCAGTGAATATGGGGCCTCTCTGGGTTGTATAAACGTACTGGACAAAATGGAGAATGTCCCAATGAGTAGGGTATGAGTGGGGTCAGGTGGTGAGTTTGGGTTGGCACTTAATGCAGGATAAATCATTATCACTGAGGACAATGATAAAGATTTTAATAATAAGAGGCAAAGAGTGAACAAAAATAGCACAGCTACAGTAAAACTGTGTTTTAAAAGGTTGCAAATGTTCAAACATGAGTAATGACACAAAATGTGCTGTTTGTATGTGTTTTTGACAAATAAACAATATACAGTACTAGTCTTTCACAAATATACTGTACCAACAACCCACTATTTAGATACACTATGATGGCACGTACAGCTGCAACAATTGGTCGATTAATTGATCGACAGATCTATTTTTGATAATCAGTGCCAAAATGTCAAACTCTGGTTTCAGCATCTTAAATGTGAGAACTGGTTGCTTTTCTTGTCTTCACAGTATAAACTGAATATTTTGAATATCTGGGCTTTGGGCTGTTGGTTGGACAAAACAAAACATTAAATGACATCATATTGGTCTTCAGGAAGCTTGTTTTCTGATGTTTTACAGACGAGACAATAATGGGCTGATAATACAATAATAGGTGTTAATTGCAGCACTACTGGTACATTATATATCAATTTTAATAAAAGTGAAAATGAAATAAATTTCCAAGAAAATGTATCCAAAAATGCACGCCTTAGGATGTGTATGGCTACCTAAACATACAAAGGCAACTAAGACTTTAAAGTCAGAAAATGAGTTGAAACTGAGCAGAAAGAGAAACAGGCCCTGAAACACTGCTGATTTCTAAGATTCTGCCAAGAGAAATAGAGACGGCTCATTATGAAAAAAGAGACTACTAAGACAAGACAAGAGTTCAGACAAAAGTTGTCGTTTAGAAATGCCTGTGTGTGTGCACAGGCCCGGGGAAAGACTTGCTGTAATGCCGCCGACGACCAATTAATTTTGATAAATGCGACTGCTGGACTCAGACCAGTGGGAGGACTTGTCTGCCAAAGAGCAGAGATAATAAAGGTTAACCTCAGGGAGAAATGAGGCGCGGACAACAAAAAAAAGTTGGATTTACTCAGGTGTGTCCACAAATATATGTATCAAATACATGACACAGGCTGCAACTTGCGAACAAGTCGTCCAAATGTGTGGTGGTGTGCAGATGAGAGCCAGAGTGAGCTGTTAACCCTTTGTCGCTGTCCGTGGTGCTGAGGTTTCAGCACCGCGGACAGCGACAGTCTCAGCCTGATAATGGCTGTGGGCGCTCCTCGTTTTCCTGTCTGGTCCTGAGACATGAAACAATTTGGAGTTACCTTGAAGTTAAAGTCTATCTGAGCAAAAAAAAAACAACGGGTTCGAGCTGTCTGCTGCCCTGATGTGTACATTTAATTGAAAGGCCATTCAGCACCATGGGCAACAAACCGAGGAGCCACGATTCTTTATTTGATATTTGCAGGTGTTAGGCTTTTAATCTACTCAAAGATCTCCGGGAAATAGCCTGCAGCCTGCTTTGTCGAGCCCCTTACAAACCAGAGAACACAAGCCAACCGAAAACTTGAATTAAAGACTATTATAGCTGCTAAAAAAGATGAAGTGTTTAAAAAACAATTAAAAGCAAACTTACGAGTGCCATCAAAACGTGTGGCTATAGTGTCCAGAAACGTGTTCTGTGGCGCCAATAATCCTTTCATCACAGGCATTTTCCCTGCTTGATATCGAAGTCCCCATCAAAGTTACTAAAGAGAAGGTGCAAGTCGGTCAAATGTGTGAGGTGCTCTCATTTAAGCCGTCGAACCTACACGAACAAGGAGCTTTTCGGTCAACTCAGCACAATGCAATCCCTAGTCGGTGGAGGTGCACGCGATGCGCGCACCCGCCCGTCTGGAGCTTCTGTTGCGTGTGTAAATGACAAGGGAAGATGAAGTCCACAGGTGCGGTTCAGGTAATAGCCAGGGACGACCGTGAGAGAGCGAGACTCCCTGTCAGCGATGCCATTATTGTGCCGCTGGATTCAATGATCATCTCTCCACAGCGCGCAATGGTTGGAGACATCAATCACCCTCAACAACTGTGATCAAAGCGCGAATGGGGGAGTTTCTCAGTGTGGAGACACGGTGACATCACAAGTCAGAAACAGAACTTCTATTTTCATTTTGTTTTGTTTTGGGGTTTTTTCTCCTCTGGAGCTTCTTAGAGAACTCAGTTTTTAATCAAGTAACGGCTTCATGTCCGTATTCACAGGGGCCCAATTACACAATAGAACAATGGCAGCCAACTAATGGCTCAATTGATTAAATCCAATTAAAAGCAGTGCACATGAAAAATTGTTTTTATATAACATGGTTACCTCTGACCTGTTTTACGACATCATGCACTCTATAGCAAATACAATCATGAAAAAAAGTTTAACAGGTTGTCTTTAGGCCTAATTTTAAAAAATGCGGTGCAAAAAAATTTTTTGTCCAGGCATCATGCAAAAGTGACTGACAGACAGACAGAAATGGAGAGAGAGTAACAAGAAGACAGAAAGGTATCATTTTTTCCTCCTTTCCTTCAAGTATGCGCAGGATCTTAGCAGCAGTTAATGAATACAACTGAAACTAAATGCAGTAGTTGCACAACAGAATGCAGAGTAAATGCTTCCTGCAATCTGTCCACGCTGCTCTCTCAACGCACACACACTACCTCCCAGCAGGCGCACAGCTGGCCACAGTAACTAAAGAGATATCGCGCCATCTGATGGTGAGAATAAGGCATGACCGGCATGGAAGCTATGCATTGATGGGCGGAGTCAAAATACCATGAGCAACACAGAAATGTTCAACAGACCCATCAGTTGCACCATAGCGCCCTCATGTGGACAGTAAAGCAGTGCATAAAAGAACACTACCAGAATAACAGGTGTAGGTTTGGTTTATTCTGTACACAAGCCATCTCTCTCTCTCTCTCTCTCTCTCTCTCTCTCTCTCTCTCTCTCTCTCTCTCTCTCTCTCTCTCTCTCTCCATCCTGTTCAAATGGATCCCATCTCTGTTGCTCTTCCTGAGATTTCTTCCATTTTTACACCAGCTGGTTCATAAGCAAAGCCGCCAAGAAATGGTAGGAAACGCAATTCTGATGTAATGATGGGAATAATTTGGAAAACGAAACACAAAATTCTCAAAATTCTGCCTCAAGTCATCATAAAATCCCACTTTGCAAACCAAACTCTTCTCTTTAAATCCAGAAATGGGATTGCACCCAAGGTTTTGCAATTACAAGCCTCATGTTGCAAGTGCAAGACACCTCCAGCAAATAACAACAAACCTGGAGTACATTCACACTCACACATATACAAGCAAAACATAACAATTTAGGTCAATCCCATTACCAACAGTTCCACAGCATAAGACTAAACACCAAAAGTCATGCACTGCGCCTCCTACTTCGATCCCCCACAAAAGTGAAGCCACTGTTATGTCATTTAGACAAAGTGAGGTCATTAGGTGCTCTAAGGTGGACTGCTGTGATTCATATATCACCTCATTGGCTTCAAACAAGCACTCAAACTGTATGTGTCCACATACACTAATACAAACACATACAGGATAAAGAGGCACATGAGGCAGTGTGAGACACAAAGATACGCTTCCATAAAAGTGTCAGCTAATAAAATTAAAACAGACAGCCAACGCACAGCAATACTTCACCTGAGTAATTAAGTGCTTAATGCATCATTTAAGCCTGATCACTGCTCCAAATACACAATGTGTGTGTGTGTGTGTGTGTGTGTGTGTGTGTGTGTGTGTGTGTGTGTGTGTGTGTGTGTGTGTGTGTGTCATAGTTAAGTTCATAGTGAAGTGACAGCTGAGTCAAAGTGAGTCATTGTTGCTCACAGTGTTACATAAATTAGACTCTTTTTACTTAAATCCATCTGTTTATTGTAGTCATTCAATCATTTCTCAGTTATTTAATTCGCTGACTCAAAGCTGATTTGGAACAGGGAAGTCCTTTAAGATACATAAAATACAAATGCAGTACTCAAGTAAAGTACAAATACCTTTGAGTAATATTACTCAGTAATATAACAGTCTAATATCATAGACTAAGTAGGTTTTAGAGAAGCCAAATGAATTCAACATTGTTTTTAAGCAGAAGCCTTGATAAAACTAACCAGGAAGTCTTCCTCGTCATCACGGCTTTATTTTCATAGCACCTTTTGGCTGGACCACAGCAAAGGGTGGGCCAGCCACAAAAGTCTGTCCCTGACTGTAATAGTCTACTGATCTTCTACTATTTGAAAATATTTTCTGACTAAACATAGTTTAACTGGGACCACAGAGAACTGCAGATGAACATTTAATATCCAGGAATTCACATTATAGACAATACCACTGGCTATCCATATAACAATTTGGCCACAGTTTATCAGACTGACCATACATGGCGCAGCCACATACTAGGTTTTTACATCTTGTTAAAACAAAGACAAAAATGCAAAAAAACCAACAAAAAAACCCAACAAAAAATCAAAACACTATGACTGAAATAAAAAAAGACAACAAAGTAAAATTAAAGACGACACTAGGATCTAGTGTCTAAAATCTATTATTACAACCTCAAAGTGTATTTTTACATTCACAGTGTAATGTGCTCTCAGTTACTTAAAAGCTTACATTTCAGATTAACTGGCAGAAGACTGTCGCTGAGTCCTAAATACTACCCTGTTTAATCTAATGTTTTTATTTTATAATTGGTTTCAAAGAAACGTTAGGATCAAAAATATAAATATAATATATTAAATATAATATAAATAAAAACAGATTATTGCATAGTATCACTCATATTAGCACACAAACATATACACTGTATATAACATATTTTGAGTAAAGGAAACCGACGAGGATATAATTGAGCTTCATTGTAAGATATTCTGTGACAAGCAGCATGTGTGGCATTTTTCTGATTGCATCGTTTTTGTTTGTGGAAAAAACAATCACAGTGAAAATTTCTGCATCCTTTGATTTGCTCTCAGCCGTTTACTCAATCAGATTTTACTATACTACCACTAGGGGTCGCCAGAGAAATCTTCAAATAGTGCACATAGGAGCTTTTACATACACAATGTGTTTACAAACATGAGGGAAACATACATAAAACCCCTTCATTAGCTCTATTCAAACCTTTAAAATTTCATCAAAGATTAATCAAAATGTTAACAGTAGTGCATAATTACAAGAACTGTAATGATGTTAGTTTTTACCTGCAGGGTATGGGAATTTTGTTTTGGATGAGTGATGTGCTGCTCTACTGTTTCAACTCCACTCCTCTGTCTCTAGTTTCATTATAAACATTCCTGGTTAAACTCTAATCTAATCTGGCCTCATGCCTGTATAACATAGTCATGCATTCATGCTTTAAGACTCCCTCGTCGCCTTGCAAAGGCAACACTGTGCCGGCATTTTAGCTTAATGGTTTTTATGATGCCCTCTGGTGCTATCTAAGAAGTGGGCATGGCTGTTTAAATATATGGCTATAAGTTAATTTTCCACACATAGCTTGACAAAGCTAATAGCCCATATTGTATGTGCAATATGTGCACAGCCACATTCACACACACATACAATCACACTGTAGTCATTATCACACTGCACAAGCCCTCTTAATGCAAGCAATATAGAAATGTCACAACATATCACGCCCATATGCCCTCTTCTAACCCAATGCTTCCACCCTCTGTCTATAGTCCTTTATTCTGTCTTCTCATCCTTATCAGAAAGGAAAGCTCAGCCATTTTTTCAGTCAGCCACAAAACAAAAACATTTTTTCAATCTAGTTTATAAGGAGGACACATCTCACATCTGATCCTGAGCTCACAATCTCATCTGAAATCTGGAGGTGCCTGCATTCAAACCTCTTTTGTCAAAGACTTTCTGATTTGTATACATACATCAAAAAAATACCTTAACCCGAGGCTATGTTTTTCTAAGCCAGTATTTGATACCTGTGCGGGTACATTAACACATAGAGGAGCCTGTACACACCCCAGATCAGGAGAAACCTGAGGAGAGACAGCTGCCTTCAAGCCTGGCTCTGGCACAATGTCAGTTATAAGGTTATTGTATGGATATAGTTTCTGGGTTAGGGTGTTTCAGATTAGAAGTATGACAAGGACAGTGGTGGACAAACTAATCAGATCTTTTACTTAAGCAAACTACCTAAAGCAATGTAAAAATACTCCATTATAAGTAAAATTTCTGCATTCAAAATTGTATTTAAGTAAAAAGGCACATTATTATTATTATTATTATTATTAATAATAATAATAATAATAATAATAATACTGATGCATTAAGGCACAAATAGCATTTTACTGTTGTAGTTGATCCAAATAGAACTAGTTTTACTACTTATAGTTCAGAAGTGTAGTCTAGTGGTTCCCAACCTAGGGACTGAGCCCCCTTCAAAAGGTCACAAGCTATATTTAAGGGGGCGTGAGATGATTGAACTGAAATCTTTTGTGGAATATTTAATAATTTAACCTTTTAGGCCTCAGTCTAGAGGCGAAATCACTCTGGTTGAAATTCTAACAACTCACAGAGATCTGAAATGTGTTTCAGGGCCCTAACTAGACACTATTTCTAACTAAGTAGTAAATATAGCAGTCAGATAAATGCAGTGGAATAAAAAGGACAATATTTTCCCTATAATAGTGCACTAGAATTATAAACAAAGCATGAAGTAGCATAAAATGGAAATACCTAAGTAAAGTACCTCAAAACTGTATTTAAGTATAGTTCTTGAGTGAATTTACTTTCCACCACTGCACAAGGAGATGAAAGTGTACATTTCGAGGTGACAGATCATTTGTGTTAGGGTGAGGTGTGTGTGTGTTTGTGTCTGCACAAACACTTAGATGCACTTGTGTGTGCCTGTGTATGTTTTGTATTACACTGTGTGTATCAGATTGTGTCCATCTGCTGCAAACTGAACACAAGTATGCATGAGCAAGAGAAACAGAGATATGTAATACTGAGTGTTGGCAATCCATTTCCCCTTTAACGC